TGATCATCAAGTCTGTTGTTGTGTTGGTTCAGGCCCACACTCCCATGATCCAAGAGGTAATGCAGCGGGTGGGAAAACATCCAGTCCATGTGCCTTTAGTTCCCTGTCAGTAATGTCATTGCTTTAATGTCATATTGCTGGTAGATTTCATTTGCCTTTAATAGCTGTGATAGCTGCTGTTTCTTTCAAAGCAAAGTGTCTGAGCCAAAGGTGTCAGCAGGCTCTGGCTTCTTGAGAAGGGGCTGCCTTAAATACTTAAATACTACTTTCAGAAATAGATTTTTGACAGGCCAGTGCTTTTCCTTTGGTAGCTCTGAGAACTCAGGAGGGATCATGTACAGATAATATTTTATTCCAGAAGCAGCAGGACAGGAAAAGGGTGTTTGTTGGTTAGCCTGTGGTCCAGGGAGACATGTTCCTCTCAGGTCCATAGTTTACATAGTTTACAGAAACTCTGTCAGTAAGCTGCTCTTTTAGTGCAAAGCAGCCTGTTTATTGTATTCCCTCTGCAACTTGAGGAATTAACTGGGGAAAAATAAAAGTTTTGTGGTTTCAGATGCAAGCTTCATACCAGAGCCTCTCTTGCTGTTTCCAGAAGCGAGTATCTTCATTACCTGAATACTTTTGTCTAGTACAGTGCTGGTAGTCAGTAGGTTGAGTGAAACATATACTTCAGATGGAATGGACCTGGAGTACCTTTCATGCAGATCCCATGGTCTGTTGGGTTGAACTAAGTGGCTGGCAGTAGTCCATGGATGCAGCTAATAAAAAGGCACCTAGCACTGTAGCTGACATTGTGGTGCAACAAGATGTTCTTGTGGTACCCAGCTGTGTGAGGTTCTGCATATGTGGTAAGTGCCAGTAATCCACACCGTTTAGATATGGAGAAGCTATGGTGTTATATCACTGGGCAGTTAGTGCAGCAGAAAAAGATTTTTCTTTTCCTGTAGCTGCTCCTGGGACAGATGAGGTGAGACTGCTTTGGTGGTAGAATACAGTACGGATAGGCTGAAAGTGTGAGGTGGAGTAAGTGTCTCTAAAGCTGGAGCAGAGGAGCAGAAATGGCTTTTATAGCTGTGGCTAAGTTAGTGTTGTGATGTAGATATGGCCATGATGTGCTCTTGCTGCTGAGGGGGAGGGAGAGGGATGGCTCCTAAAGCTTTCTAGTTTCCTGCACCCGTTTCCAGTCTCTGTGTCTGGGGAACTCCAGCTCCTCAGTTTATTTCACTCATTGAAAGCAGGCACGGAGGGACAGCTGGAATGGAGAGCTCTCTTGCTCCAGAAATGGCACTGGGATGTAAAATCCCAGCTGATGCCAGGCCCTCCAAAGATGGAGAAACCCCACTCTTCTTAGCTTTATCTAAAATAGCTACTAGAGGTCTTGAGACCCAAAGCAGTAACGTCTACAGTGGAGTTTGAGGCTGCTACTATAAGACACGTCTAGTAACATGAGCACCCTGGTGGAGTACAGCCTGCTATGGGGCCTAATTATGGTCTTATTAATGCTTTCTTTCATCACTGCCTTCCAGCCTTCAGATGGTGATTAGACCTATTTATAGGGGCAGAGTTCCTTAATATTCATCACAGCGTACTTCTTGCCAATCAAATCAGTAGCATCTGCATCTTTGATTGCTGCTTAATAACACTGTAGAACATGCTTAATTAAAAAATATAAATAGACTTTTCATCCTCTTAACTTATCAAAGTGCTTCTCTCCTCCCCCTGCCTTGCTTCCCCCAAAAACCCTAAAGTTGGCTTAGCACAGGGACTGTGGTGAACCTCTCATCTCACTGCTGGAAATACCAGTTACCTCTTGTGTGCTCTGCCGGAGGACTAAATTTCAACCCCTCCAGTGAATATCAACACAGGGCAGAGCAATCGTTTGCTGCACAATAGAATAGGACTTATGTCTAGGCTCTTTTGCTGCATTTACAGCCAGAGCATGAGAAACTTGTAGCTTTTGCTCCAGTTGTGTGTCTACATCTGTGCAAGTGCATGTGCACGCACTGCCTTGTCCTGTCCCTTAACGGGAGGAGCATGTGCAATGATGTTTTGCTTTTCTGTGGCTTCAAGTCTCTTTTTTAAATATGGTTCTCTGGCTTTGCAGCTGGTAAACTCACAGGAGTGTGTTTTATCTGTGAAGGGCAAGGTGATATAATTATCTTTTCTTATTATTATTATTCTTTCCTTGGAGGATTTGATTCTGATATTTTTCTGGGATAGCCTCTAGGCAAACCTCTAGCATAACCAAGGAATGACTTGAATACACCAGCAGATTTGACCATGAAATTCTGTGGGAAGCCCATGCAGAAAGTAGGGAATGAGGATGATGCAGTAGTCCATTAAGTGCAGTACTACAGAGTGCATAGTTAAGTGCACAGTAGTAGAAGTTTGGGATGTGAAGTACAACAGACATTGTAGCAACTGGAGCCTTTGGAGCTCTGAAAGCCACAGTCAGGTATTGTGAGCAGTGAGCTGATGTAGTACACTGGACTGGAGCAGAGGAAAGTGAGGATAACAGAGGTCTGTTATTATCAGGCAGCACAGGAAAACATTTGTCCAGGTGAACGTGGTAGAAAGTGTTATGTGTAAGAAGTTACGGTCAGTGAGGAATTCGGGATGACTTCTCACTGTGAACCAAGTTACGGATGTGACTTTCCTCTATCAGAGGAGGCAGCATTTTCTGATAAGCCTGTCTCTACTCCATCATTTGAGTGTGTTTAATCTTAACCAGCGGCTCACCTGTGGCTTTGTTTGTTCCCACTGTGGAACCATACTGGTGGCAGTGGTGTGGTGGTGTGTGGTGAGGGCTGTGCAGACTTGTGTTTTATTGTGTGTTGCTGGTCTCTGCATCCTCACAGGTGTCTATGAGGCACTGATCTTTTATTAGGATCCTACAAAGGAGAAACACAGGGCTAGAGACAGCCTGACACTTCTTTTTGGAGATGTTACTGCCTGTGGGAATTAAAAGCCTCTAGTTCATGCTGCCTTTCCAGTGCCGGGACAGAAGGAGCAGCAAGTAATTGCTAAAGCAGCCTTTGTAGCTTTGAAGAATACACACTGATTTTGTTTTCAAAGTATTTAATCCCTCTTCTCCCCTGAGCCCTCTCTTTTTAGTCTCTTGAGGCATGTTAAGAAAGCAGGTATTGTTGATGGCTTGCCTTATTCTCCCTTTATTTTCATAACAAAGTACACATCTGGTAAGCGCTTGTATATAGATTTACAGCCTGCCTGTGTTGAGGGCAGGCAAACTGTTTTCTTGATATTGCCTTTGTTTATGTTCCTTTGAAAAAGTAAGGTATTTTAAGGTTGTGGGCATCTTTTTTTTTGTTTGTAGATAATCACCTCAGTGGTTGATCCTCCATAGTGCAGTATTTTCTGAAGAACTTTGGGAAGTGTTGCTTCTTTTACAGACTCTGTTTGCTCTGTGAGAAGTTCTCTTGGGCTTAGCCTTAATATAAGAAGTTTTATTCTTAGGTCCAGGGAGAGGTAACGCAAGAAGTGAGCAAAGTAGGTGGAATGTTTCTCTACCTATCCAGAGGAGTGAATTTTGTACTTCGTTTTCCAGGTTCAGAGCTACAAATCTCTACACAGCCATCAGAGTATTACACTTGGCTGGAGTGATTCAACAGTAACACCAGTTGTTGGTTCCAGATGCCTGAAAACCCTGGCGTGCTCAGCCCGTGTCTGTCCTGGTTTAAAGTCTTTTGGAAAGGCAAGACAGTCTGGTGGAGGCTGATTTTGCATTTCCCACAGCTGTTGTTTTGCTCAGTGTGAGTGTTGGAATCGAGAGGGAAAGAGCAACTTTGAGAGCAGAGGGAGAGCCACCAGCCTTGATGAGCTTTGCACCAGCTTGCCTAAGGTGAAAGGATAGACAGCTTAAAGGCAGAAGTGCAAATCTGAGCAGTTGGTAACTCTAGTCAGAGCTTCCAAATCAGGATATAGCACTTGGAAGCAGGTGGTGCAGTGAGAAAACAACTTTTTTCTCTTTGTTTGCACTTTAATAAGGTAAATGAGGTTATTATATAACACCAGAGCACATTTGTCTTGATCATGGAAGTTGACACAGAAAAAATAATTGAATAAAGAGAGGATGGAGCCCCAGATGCTGCAGCTTTTTTCCAGAGCCTCTTTGATCACCAAAAAAAAAAAAAAGGTCTGTATTGCTGTTTTTTCTGACCCATAGGTGGTCACACCACTAATGATTAAATCTCTTGGGTGATCTGACATCTGCTTTTGTGAATCATACTTGCTTTGGGCACACGTGCCCCTCTCTTGCTGTAGCATCTGAGTATTTCATGTCAGCCACCATAATTCCAGCATTCTGGACTTCCTGCTGAAACGTGCCAGCTCCCTCTGTAAGATTTGGAGTGATACTGGAACCAGTTTGTTGCTTTGCTAGAAGTCCCTTCCATATGTAAGATGATCAGTTTATTTGCACCTTTGCTGTGTATATTACATGAAGGCTTGGACACTGGGCAGGGTGGGAGAATTGAGATATCTCTAAAATGCGGCACTTATTTTTTTTATGTAGTGTCTAATTCTGATAATGGAGCATGACAAGGAAAAGTGCTGCTTCCTCCTCAGTGCACTGAAGGTTGAGGTAAAGGAAGAGTCAGTCCTGCTGAGTGACATTCAGTCTTTGCTTTTCTTCTTGACTTTAGTTGGGAATATTTTGAATTTTCCTGTTAAAATCCTCCTTGTTCCTGCAGTCTCTTTCTGTTGCAGAAATCGATTCCACTTTTATTCTAAGCATATGGTCAGGTCCCTACTCAAAGCGTTTGTAGCATTGTCTTGTTTCTCCAATTTGGTCCTAGGAGCAGCTGTAGCATGAAATTTTGCCTGAGTCTAGTCATTCAGGTGTTGCTGGTTTTCCTCTTCTTGCTATAAATCTCCAACTCATTTCCTTGCACAGAAAGAATTATCTCTTGTATTTGTCTCTTACAGCAGTTCCCAAAGAGTCTGCCACATTTCTCCAATGTGTGGTTTTTTTAGGAAAGGTGAGAATCTGGAGCTCAGCTGAGAGGCTGCGTTGAGAACCTGTGAAGCTGAAGTTTACTGTCAGATGAACTCTGACAGTGTGAGCAGGAGCACACAGGGATTTTCCTGTTTTGCCCGCTGCTGTGTGCTCCTCTCTTTGGAGGGGAGCAGTGAGACCTGGAGGACAGTCTGTAGCTTCTGATTGCAGGCAAAGAAACAGTTTGGTAGTAGCTATGGATGTGCTTCTTCCATTTGTGAGCATCTGTCAGTCAGCAACTGAACTGAGCTTGGCTTTAGAAAGGTCACTGGAAGAATTAGTATTGGTGAGAGTCTGAGAGATCATGTATAATCTCATCTGGCCTCAAGAGGTGAAAAGCTTGGCTTTCTCAGGATTACCATTACACAGGAATGGTTTTGATAATGAAGCAAGTTTTAGAAGTCCCCTTTTTGCCCCTGCTTCCCACTCTGCTTCATGACTGGGCAATTACAGCTGTTTATCTGGCTGCAGCAAATTGGGTCATTGAACTGATCCGAGCTAAAAATAGGCATCCCCAACATGAGCAGCATTGATGCAACGGAAGAGTTGTGACCAGTGGCAGGGAGGATCATAAACTCATTTTGCTGCTGGAGCCAGAGTAACTCATCACCGTGCGCTCTCTCTGTTATGTGCTCGCTTTGTTCCGCCTTGACAGTCAAAGAGGAGATTTGAAAGGAAGAGGATTCGAGCTTGATTGTGGTCAGCAGATCAAAAAATGCCGTCTCAAAATTAGCTGTGCTCCTCTCTGATTAACTTGTATGCTTTACAGCTCTAAATAATAATTTCCTGTCTGCTGAGTAGGCCCAGTCAAGAAGACTAATCAGTGTGCAAACATTGCCGCTAAAGAGTGCGGATACAGAGTCTGGCTGCCAGTGATGCATGAAATGGAACAGAATAGGTCTAGGCTTCCTGCAGCAGAGCCAGCTCTTCTGCTGGCTAGGCTTGGTTTTGCAAATTTAACTGCAAAAAGGCTACTAGGTGTCCTTAAATCTCATGCGATTCATTATTAAAACCCAAAACAACCCAAAAAACCCCACGTCCCAAAAAAATCGCCCTTAAAATAACAGCCGCGTCACATTTACAGAAAGTCTTTCCCTACCCTGCTGTGGTAGGATCAGGAAAGACAAATGTGGAGAGGGTGGATGGTGTTTCTTAAATGTACAGGAATGGCTGCAGGCAAGTCTAATCTGTTATCTTTTCATTTTGCGAAGCAAGATAGAGGATGTAAAGAATGAGTGAAGACTCCCCTAATTTTCGCATATTAAACTGTTGTTTTATGTTGTGACTATCTCTTCAGGCTCCTGTTCTGTGAATTTCTCCAGTATGGGCTGTGTTTCTGTGTTATTCTCAGTCTGTCCTAGTGTACAGGCAGGAATAGAGGTTGCACACAGCAGCGCTGTCTGGATTAGCTCCTGCAGAACTCCAGGTATCACACAGGGAATGTGGTGTGTCCTGAGATATCCCTGTCTGTTTCTGATGCCCTGCTTTTTGATCCTTCTTTGTTTTGCTTCTCCTCAGCTTAATGAATACTTTGTTATACTGATGTACAGCACTCTGTGTGATGAAACCTTGTAATGAGCACCTGTAATCTGTGGGGTTTTTACAGCCTGAATGAGAAGACACAGAAAAAACAAGTTTGAAGAGAGTTGTGTGGACCAAGCAGTAGAGTTTGGGTTAGAAAACTGTATGGATACTCTACTCTGTTCATTCTTTGGACTGTCCTAACAGTAACGTATTTGTGAGTTTGCAATTTTTAATGTGCTTAGAGAAATTGAGTTTTTTTCTCTTTACCCTCCTCCATGTCCTGGGAATGTTTTTGTCATTTTTGTGAGTAAAAACGTGGGAGGCAGATTTTTTGGGAGTTGCTGAGGGAGAGGTGAGCAAGGCTGTCGGGATGGAAACATGAGTGATGCATATCCTTCTCTTGGCTGAGCTATAGAGCAGTGGTTTGGGCCCAGCTGCATCTGAGAGCACGTGTACTGCTCTGGTGCATGTGTTGCACACAACTGAAATGTGTCAGTGACCATTTAGGTTTTGTACCTAAAAGTATCCTAAAATAAGGAGGCTTCTTTTAAGATAGTTACTAAGGAAAAATCCAGCCACCAGAAGCAGGAAACAGCTCCTGGGAGTCTCAGAATGGAAGAACTCCCATTAGCCTACTTGGAGCAAGGGGGTGTGTGCACTTGCATGCCTTGTCATTTCATGGCTGCTCTTCCTGAAAGGAAGTGGTGGTTGTGTTTTGTGGAGCAGAAGTGTAAGATGAAATACTGCATTTTGCTGATAAGGCTGAATGACCTGAAACATATCCACAGGGAATATGAGGATGGGAGGAGGGGACAGAGCAGTTTCTGATGAGTCTTATTGCCACCCTGAACTGACTTTTCTTTGAAGTGTGGTCTTTGTTTTCAGCACAGTACTGAGCAGAGATTTGTTAAGTAGCATGCAAAAAAAGAGAGCATTCGGATAAACAAGAGACTTCCACCTCACTGTGGCTGTCTTGAATTTATTAAAAATCCAATATGTCAACCTTACTACCTTGTGCTGTTCTCCACAGCTCACCAGTTCTGTTGCAAATGCTTTCCTAAAATAATTAGGGGATCAGAAAGTGGAAATCTCTGAATAAATGCTGTGATAAAATGGAAGTGTGTTTAATAATGATCTATTTCTTCTTTCCTTTAGGTACAATGGCTGCAGTAGCCCAGAAGCACTTTTTGGAGGGGCAGACATACTCAGTCCCCCTGATCCAACCGGACTTACGCAGGGAGGAGGCTGTTCAGCAGGTGGCAGATGCACTTCAGTACCTGCAAAAGGTGTCTGGTGATATATTCAACAGGTAAAGTGCTCTCACAGGGGGTTGGGTGCCTTGAATTCAGCAATACGAAACAGTGCCGTAATAAGGTTGCAGCCGTGAAAGTTCATTCCAGTGGCAAGCAATGGAAGGTCAGAAAAGGGACCAGATGCACTTCAATAAAAGTTTATTGGATTCAGGTCTGTCAAAGTGAAGCATAATGAAATGGCTGCAGTTAGCCAGAGCTTGTTGGTTATTAATTTTTTATTCAGTGGCAGAGTCCCACAAATTGCATTATTGCTTCTGCTGCCATTATCCTTTATTCCTTCTTGCTCATGTTTTAAAGGGGAGGCTTTGTTATTTGGAGTATCTTGAAGATATGTCTTTTTGAGTCATTGTGCTTGAAGCAGTGAAGTAGAAAATGTCTCTTTGTTCTGATCTCTGGGACTTACAAACTGTTCTCTTTGGGCTTCTGGTATTTTGCACTTTTTGTGTGTTGGGAGGGCTGAGTGCATGAGAGTATTCTTCTTGCCACAGTCTCATAATACATCTGAACCCATTTCTTCAGGGATTTGGCCCAGACTTGGCACTTCTTGCATATGGTCATCTTTGGGATTGAATCTATAAGACTGCCTATATAGCAAATCAGAGAGATTCTTGTGTTTGCCTGCAAATGGTGGTGGATAATATGCTGCCTTTTTCCATCCAATGCCATCTTTGGTGTCTCAGTGCTCTGAGATGGCATTATATTATTGGTATGGGAACAGATCAGCCTTTGTCTTCTCATAGCCTGGTTAGCAAAAGCACTTGCTTTGGTTTCAGGGGGGATCATGACTACCTAGTTTGATTTATTATGGTGTGAGAAGGACCATGACATTCTGTCTTCTTTTGAGTTTTGGGGGTTTTTTTTAAGGGTAGAGTGAAGTTCTTCAGTTTTTGATAGAGCTATTTTGAAAGGCAGCCTCTGGGGAAAGAGTAGTCGCTAGGGCTGAGCTCAGGTCACTGAGGGAAATAAAGGCTTTATGCTGGAATAGTCTTTGGGCAGGGGCTTCTGGGCAAGGGCTGTGTGTGGGCTGGATTGGGTTGAGTACAAGGTGCCATTCTTTTGTGCACTTCACAATATTGGAACCCTTCATGATATGAGGCTGAGAGAAGGCTTTCTGGAGCTGCCAGAAACATGTGGAAGCACCTCTCAACCTTGGGGCTGGTTGGCAGTGCTGCCCCTCTCTGTGGGGCAAATAAAGCTGTTGATAAGACAGGGGTGGCTCTTTCTCCGTCTCTTTTATTTCCTTTTTTCCCTCCTCACTGCTTTGTAATGCAGTACCCTGTAATTTCCCCAGGGAGATGAGCCTGCTGTTTTGTATGCAAGTCACTCCTGAGTCCTGAACAGTGACTGTGATGCTGTTCCCTCATCCTTTGGTGCACTCATGACTTTTAATTACCAATTTTCTCCAACAACAGAGGAGGCTTCATTGGGTTCTTTGTTTGCTTTGCCTTTCCTCTGAGGTCTTGGGTCTCTGATATAATTAATAATGATTTAGTAATTATGCAGGCATCTGATTAAAAGTTCCATGACCTTGGTTGTTCCATGTCAATCAAGGGGCAAAGCTTTCAAGGTGAGAACTTTGCCACTTATTGAAGAGTGACCTTTTATCTTCCCTTTCCTGAGATAAGGCAGCTCTGTCTTCCATTTCCAGGAAGGAGCTACCTTATCTGGGAAAGCTGACTGTTCTGATCTGCATAACAGCATCTTGCAGTGTTGGTGGAGAGGAGACTTGTTCAGTGTGGCAGACTTGGCTGAGTGTGTCAAACTCATTACTTCAGTACTACAAAGATGCAGATGTTCTGGGCTTGTTTAGTGGGAACAGTTGGATTGGTACAGTGCTTTTGAGTGGCAAGCCAATCTGTTTGTTGAAGATGGAGTGAAAGAGTCTCTTACTCTCTGTGGAAAGAGGGATCTTTCCGCAAACGGATCTCTTTCTACATTTTAGCTGAATTAAGTTTCTGCTTTGAGTTGTTGCTGACATGACAGCTAAGTAAGAGTTCTTGAAATGAACATGTCAAGGGAACACGAGAAAGACACCTTTGCATTTGGAAAATTAGGAGAACAGATAAGGAGCTTTCCTCCTCTTCCCCACCGTTTGGGGAACCTGGAAGATAACCCATGAGACAAGTCCCTGCCAAGCTCTTCTTTCCAATCACTCTCAAACAAGCTTGCTTGCTGTTAAGTTCAACTGTGGTGAAGTACATGGTGAATGAGACACTTTGCAGAGTTCATTAGTTTGTAGATAATCAAGGGTTGTGCAGGTGCAAAACCACAGGTAAACTATGGCTGAGACCCAGAGACCCTCTGGGACCAGCCTTGGAGGGTAGGTCTAGCAACCTGGACTGCAGTCTGGAATCAGTAAGAAAGAGCAGGATACATCAGCTTAGCATCCCTCTCCATCATATTTCTAACCCTCGGAAGCAGGGACCCACCTGGCTGCTTCCACATGGAGAACACCAAAGTACTACATCCTTCAAAGGGAGAGTGTTGACCTGGGCAGGCTCTTGGCTGCTGGGCAGTAGAGGTTGATATCTCAGGCCAGTGCTGTCAACAGTCCCACCCTCTTAGGAAATCCTCTTGGTGCTGATATCAGTGAGAGGATAAAGAGGCTGCATGTCCTTTTCAGGGTTATGCTTTGGAGTAATGGAAGTTTTAACCTTGCGTATGTTCACTGAATACATGTAATTAGTCTGCTGTGGAAGCTGCAGTAAAGATCAGATTCATTGCCTGTAGCTACTGAGATTTTAATACATATCATTACTGCTTAAAACATAAATATTCTAACATAGCCAGTCTGACATAATATCTACTTAAGTTTAACTCCTGAACTTTTAAGGAGGGTTTTAGATACAGGTCACAGGAGGCAGGATGACCAATTTAAACACTCAATTAACAGTAGCCTTTCATTGGTTTGATTTCTCATTACCGGCATTTTCTGAGTGAGAGCTTGTGTTGGAATTATGTGCTGTGGAATTTTTTACAGGAATGTTGTTGTGGTAAGTACTTGGAGATGGGTGATGGGTTTAGCTTTCCTGAGATGTTCCACTCATTAGCTGGACTTATCCTTTGGGATTTCTCAGTTTCTATGGGGAGTTTGTATTGTTGGGAAATGTTAATAATCTCTAATATGTCAGTTCAATATTTAAAGTGTACACTTTTCTGCTACAGATTTGTGGAAAATTGCCTTTGCCAGTTATCTCATGGAGTTTTACAGCAGAAAGAAAAATATTTGGGGTTGAAATTTTGTTATCAAGGTCCTGGTTTACTTTGCCTGTGATCCAACCACAAGTTGTCCAGTATACAAAATTTGTCATCCTTGTGTTTCTTTTTTTTCAGTTTACAGAAGATTTCTTGGGTTGCTCCTTTAAAAAATCTTTATTCAGTGTCTTTTACTTGTCTGGAATAATACTTCGCTAAACCAATGTATCCTTCTGTTTTCTCCCCAGTTGGATTCAAGTTAATTTCATATTAAATATTTGAAAACGGCTTTAATATTAAACAAAGATTTAACTGAAAGCCACACTGCTGAAAATGGTAGCTGGAAAACAAAAGTACTGTGGAAATGCTGTTAAGGGTGGAGAGGAAATGTGGTAAGTGTGTGATTAAGGAAGGTGAGGAATAGGTGATGGGCAGCACAGCCTTAAGGGTTGTTTGGGACAGGAGCAGATCTGAGATGTGAGCAGTCCTGAAACTGAAAATACAGACAAAATCTTAATCCTGAGGTGCATTTGGGTGTTCCCCTTGTTACTGCGATTAGTCATGATGATCAGTGATGGAAGTGGGGGGACTAAAAGTATCCCTGTAAATGTACTTGATTTAAGAGGTCTGTGGAATGGAAACTTGCCGGGGGGGTCTTGCTGCAAGCTGTACTGTGTTGTTTGTTGTGCAATGGGGCTCTGGGATGCAGCTTGGAGCTTGGGCACTTCATTGTATTTGTTCCTCTGTTGGCTGCAAGGGTTGGATCTTGCCAGGAGGAGAGCTGGCTCCAGTGCAGGGGAGTTTACACCAGGAAGATGGCTGTAGCACAGGGAATTAATTTTTCTCCAGTTAATTTGAGAGTGTTATGACTTTTGCTAAACCACAAGTTACCTTGTGGTAATTTGAAGTTGAACCTGAAAGAGGATGCTAAGTCTAGGTTAGTTTCAGATACCTCTCTTGAGAGGCTGTAGGAGCAGTCATTCGCTGCCAGGAAGATTAAGAAGAAACAGTGAGGTAAAGAGTGACTGGATTGTCCTGTAGTCATGAGGAAATGGAGCACAGGGAAGACATTTTGCTTGCAGATGGTTGTTATTCTTGTAGAGACATGTCCAAGTAATGTGGATTTATTTTTCTTTTAAGTGTAGCACAGACTTTGTAAGAAACCATTCATTTGTTTTGGCTGTCATGATCCTCTGGAAACTAAATTTGAAAGCTTGCAAAGATGTAGCTTCAGAGAGGTTCCCAGACTATAGGAGGAAGACTTTGGGAGGTGACAGGAGTGTCAGATCAGCATGCCTGGACTGCTGGTGACAGCTGGCACTGTTCAAACCATGACAGCCTCCTACACCCTTAGGAGGCAAAGGGAGACTAACTGTTCTGCAAGAGTCCAGGTCACAACTCTTTCTGGATGCTTCTAAAATCCCTAAGCTTGAAATCTTGCAGGATCTGGGCCCCAGGCTCTATTCAGATGCCTTGACAGCCCATGGAGTGGGCAGCGGGTGGGAAGAAGACTGAATGGTACTAAGTCATTAAAAGATTATCCCTTCAAAATTAAACAAACATAGTGGAGAATTAGCAAGACAGGATTCTTGCTCATCTCAGAAAGTGCTGAAAATCTGTCTTTTGGACTTCCAGAGATTAAATGTGTCTTTTGAAGGACAGGAACAGAATGCTAAAGTTGATTCTGCAAGCAAGATGCTTTTTATGGCAGTCATTGAAATGTAGTGATGGTTACTTAAGCCCTTGCTCTACATCCACTAGCAACAGCTCTTCCACATCAGTTTTGTCTATGAGTTTGTTT